CTGAGGGCCCACTCCCCGCCACCCCACGCCTGGGGCACAGTGGGCACTGCTCTGGACAGACCCTGGGGCAAGCAGGGCTGGAGGCTGGCAGCGGGCTGGGACTGTGAGGGCTCACTGGGGGAGTTGGGGTGGGACCTGCCACATGCAGAGGTGATGGTACCCGTGGACAGGCTGGCAGAGGCACCCAGGGGTGGGAGTAGGTGGGCTGCAGCCCTCGGGGCAGAGGAGGGCACAGGCGTGTGCCGGCCCTTTGGCGCCCAGCCACGGGGCCTCCTGGAGCCCACACAGCCTGAGAGTGGCCCTCCCAGGGGTGCTGGTCCTCTCCCCCACTGCCCAGGCAGGGGCCTGGCCTGTAGTGGGTCTGACGCAGTCTGGACACGCAGGCTGAGCCCGCCCCTGCCCCGTGCCAGGGTGGCAGCACTTCACGCTGGGGGACGCACCCCCACACCTGGGTCTCTCTGAGCTCCTCACGGTGCCGGACACCCTGTCACCCAGCAACTGCGCCCCCACCTCGGGGATACACGAGCATCAGCGAGGCTGCGGGACCCAGCGCTGCCCGGGCCGGCCCCCAGCCCCCACCCTGCCGGGGACACTCGGGGACTCACCCCAGCCTCACGCTGCTTCCTCAGCCGCCCCTCAGCTGCCCACCCCTGGACCTTCTCCCGACCGGGCAGCCCAGCCCTGGACGCAGAGCGGCTCGTGCTCTCTTCGTCTCTCCGTCTGTCTCTCTCTCTCTCTCTCTCCGTCTCTGTGTCTGCATCTGTCTCCCTGTGTTTTGGGCACCCTGCCATGTGCCAGGCCGCCCTGCTGGAGCCCAGCTGCTGTGCCCGGAGGTCCCTCCATTCCTCCCAGGACAGCCAGAAGCACCAGGGGAAGGACAATGGCGCCCCCTGGTGCCAACATCCAGAATAACTGCAGCATCTGGGGCTGTGGTCCTGAGGGGCCTTCACTGCCCTCCTTCCCGTGTCCCCCCCTCCCGGCTCCTGGGGCCACATTACAGGGGCTAAGCACCTCTGGGCCCCTACTCCGTGCCACCCAGAATTGGGGCAGCAGGTACCCAGGAAACAGCGGGCACGCCAACCCCACAGCTCCCCTGCAACAGGTCCTACCCCATGCCCAACTGATGTGAGGGGAAACTGAGGCACAGAGCGCTCCAGACAGCCACAGGCCTCCTAAAGACGGTGGGGGCCCTGGGAACAAGGGCGTTGGGAAGTCACACTCCCGGTGTCAGCATCGAGGTGTCAGAGGTTTGGGGGTGTCTGAGTTTCAGGGCTCGGGAGTACTGGTGTCACAAGCCTGTGCCTGTGGGGGTTAACTGGCCTGTTCAAGGGGAAATTCTGCCCCACCCAGGGGCCACCTCTTGGGCCAGTTCTGCCCACCGGGGTGACTGACAGTTCCAACACAGTTACGGCTGCAGTGGGAGGAACCGCAGAAAGGGCCAGTCTGGGCCAGCAGAAAGGGCCAGTCTGGGCCAGCCTCAGGTGCTGGTTCCGGCTCCGCTTCCTAGCCTGAGTCGCTGGCAGTCCCGAGCCAGACCCAGGGAGATGCTCTGTGGGGGTGGAGGGTCGGGGACGAGGGCAGCCGATGGACACAGCCGGCAGGGGGGAGCAGCAGAAGCAACTGCTGCAGCCTCTGGGGACATTTGCCAGTTGGAGCTCTCAAGCACCCGCCCACCTGGGAACACGCAGCCCATCACTCAGCCTGCACCAGGTCGCAAGTCCCAGCAAGAAACACACCTCCCAGACACACACACAGACACACAGACACACACACAAACACACACACACACAGACACTCACACACCACACAGATCCCAGGAGTGAGACCTGGAGTCCAACTAGGCCCTGCCCACGTGTCCGCGTGTGACCCCTGGCACCACAACCCAGTGCCTCCCCCAGGACAGGGGCCAGTTAAGTGCGCGTAGACATAGCAGGAGAGGGACAGGGGGAGGGGACAGCGCCCCTTCTCTCCTTGGGCTGAGGCACAGGAATCTTAGGTGGGGCCCGGGGAACTCACTCTCGGGGTGCTGTGGACCCAGTGCCCCTCAGAACCACCTCTAGACGGACACTCGGGCCCGGGGAACTGTCCCCACTCTGCCCCGGGCCAGACCGCAGCAGCACCCCCTGCAAGCCTGTCCAATGGCCTGTCCCTGTGACCACAGAGTTGATACTGCTCCAAGGGGCCCCTACATCTGGTGCCCCGGGGGGACACGGGCCTCGGGTGGGTGCAGACCCCACCTCCAGGTCCGACTGTGCGGCTGATTAAATCACCAGTGTCATCATCACAATCTGAACCGTGCTAATTGAGAGAATTTATTTGGGCCTGACAGTTTTATGCAGGTTTGATTAAGTCTTCTAAGGTTTGTTTTTGATTCTGCATAATTTAACTTGAAATTCTGGACTCGGGGGGCATCAAGCATTAATGACCAAAATAAAACTCTTTTAAGATGCAGCGCTTCGTGATTTATCTGAAACACGGGATATTCCAGAGTCTTTCTGTGCTGTCGCCGCGTGACAAGTCTGTGGAAGGTGACATTTCCAGCCTTCCCCTCCGGCCTGTAAATCTCCCGCAAAGCAGACAGCTCATTAAAAGTTCTCCAAGAAGTACAGTTAGCATTTGGACGGCACCAAGCCGCGTACAGATGCCTGCTCCTGTCTCCTGTGGCCATAAAACACGGCCCGGGGAAGCCCACCGACCTTCTCTGGGCGAGATGTGCCCGGCCGGCAGGGCAGTGAGGGGCGGGGGGGGGGGGGGAGATGAGGTTTCCCAGGGACACAGAGCTGAAGCCCAGGCCTGCGGGCCCCCACGGGCTTCGGGCGCTGCCCACAAGCCAAGTCCAAGAGGGTCCCCAATCTGTCCCTTGCCCCAGCGGACTCTGTACCCGCTAACCTGCACTAGTGCCCGGGCACAGCAGGGGTGCAGCCAGCCAGCAGGGTGCGGCAGAGATCAGACCTGTGCTGGGCACAACCCGCTTCCTGTTGGCCCCTCCTCCCACCCCAGGATGGCACTGGGTGACCCACAGGCCAAAATGTCTCTGGCCTGGCTGCAGTGCTGCGGGCCTGCCTCTCCCACAGGACTGTGGGCACTGTGCTCGCAGAGGGGCCGAGTCCTCAGAGACAGGGACCGACCCTCACAGACAGGGACCAACCCTCAGAGATGGGACTGAGCCCTCAGAGACGGGGACCAACCCTCAGAGACGAGAGATGAGACTGAGCCCTCGATGGGGGAGCCGAGCCCCGAGACAGAGAGACAGTCGAGCTTGCTGACACTGTGCACCAGGCCATAATGGTCCCACTTGGGGACCTGGGTTGGGGCGCAGGAGTCCCAGGCAGAGGAGGAGGAGGGACAAAGGTGAACCCCTGTGACCCCCGGGTGGCCCTGCCAGGGAGAACCCGAGGCAGCTGCCAGGTCCCGGAGCCCGCACCGTGGCTGACACCTATGCCGGAGCCACCGTGGAGTGGGGTGGTGCCTGCACAGCCGCTGCGCCCGAATCAGCCAGGGTTCTCGCGCTGTCCTCAGTGTCCTGGTCACCAACACCTCAGCGCCCTCAGGGCCCTGGATCCTGAGGGTGCTGAGACGCGCAGGCCTGCTGACAGTCTACAGCCTGAGGTCTGTGGCAGAGCCGGTGTCCTAGGACACTGGCCAGCAGATGGATGGGTCGGGGGCAGCCTGGAGGCTGGGCCCACTCTGGTCCTCTGACCTGGCCACCCCAAGCCCAGGGCCCTGGTGCCCAGGTCCCATCGCGGCAGGCCACACCCCGGACCGATCCACGCATTGGAGCCCCCATGCCAGCGAGTGTCCCCCAGTCTCACCATGTCCCAGGCAGCCCCCCACAGAGGTGCCCTCCCCCCTTCCCTCAGTGCTGATGGAGCCGACTGCAGGGGAAAGCTGGGCCACCACAGCGCTGACCTGCAGGGCTGGCAACCTCTAAGGGTCACTGTTTACGGGCGCTGCGTCAGTCCTAGCCCTGAGCACTGAAGCGGGAGCAGTGCCGGGTGCTTCCCAACAACACAGCTGAGGGTCAGTCCCCACGCACCCCTGCTGGGGCCGCCCAGCTCCCTTGCATCTACTGCCCAGGGTGCTCCTGGTTCGGCCCGGGGTGACCAGCTCCCCGACCACAGGGTAGCAAGTGAAAGGACGGGACAGGCCTGGGGTGCAAGCCGCGGCCCCTGCTGCCGCGTTCTCAGCGGACGGGGAGGGGGCGGGCCTTGTTAGTGTCCTGCCGCCCCCCCTCCAGCCCCCCCGCCCACCCCAGCCTGCCGTACTTTAAGGCGCTGCTCATGTGTGCCAGCAGGTGGCGCCAGGCCCCTGCCCACAGCCGGGGTCCCACAACAGGTAAGCCGGACACCTGACCCGCCTCCCGCCCCGCCCCTGAGCTGGCCTTGAGGACACTGTTCATCCTCTGCAGCACCTCTGCTGGGGAAAAAAGCCGAATGTAGTGGGCCGCGGCCAAGGAAGCGTGGTCAGAGGCTCCTGTGGTGGCCTGGGGGCGTGGGGGAGGGGTACGGGGAGGGCAGAGCGGCCAGGCGCGGTTCCGGGGGGAGAGGGGAGTCAGGGCAGACCAAGGGGGCCCCTTCACACCGCGGGCTGGGGCAGGGGCTGGGGACAGGGCCCGGGGCGGGGAGGTCCGGTTTGTGCGCTGACCCCACTGCTTCCTCCCTGGCCGCGTGTTGCTGTCTGAGCGCCGGGAAGCGCCAGCCTGCAGCGGGGCCTGCTGGGGACGGGAGCAGGGGAAGGCGTGCAGGGGCCAGGGGCCGGGTGCAGGGCCGGCCGGGCTGCAGCGGGGCCTGCTGGGGACCAGGGCCAGGGTAAGGCGTGCAGGGGCCAGGGGCCGGGGGCAGGGGACGGCGGCGGCGCTTGCGGACAGGGGCGGGGCGTCTGGGCGGCGGCGCGTGCGGGCAGGGGCGGGGCGTCCGGGCGTCCGCGCCTGCGCAGTGCCGGGCGCGCTCTGCGCCTGCTCCGCCCGCGCGCGCCGGGCCGGGCCGGGGGCGGCGGCGGCGCCTACGGCGGCCGCTGGGGGCCGGGAGCGCGGGGCGCGGCCGGCCGCGGGCCCCGGGGAGTGGCGGCGTCCCGGGGCCCGGCGAGGCGCGGCCGCGATGCCCGTGCTGCCCATCCCGCGCCGCGTGCGCTCCTTCCACGGGCCGCACTCCAGCTGCCTGCACGCCGCCTGCGGGCCCGCGCGCGCCTCGCGCCCCGCGCGCACCAAGTACCACAACTTCGACGTGTACGCGCGCGCGCGCTGGCTGCACGGCTTCATCCGCTTCCTGCTCTACTTCAGCTGCAGCCTGTTCACCGCCGCGCTGTGCGGCGCGCTGGCCGCGCTTCTGGGCCTGCAGTACCTGGGCGTGCGCGCGCTGCTGCGCTTCCAGCTCAAGCTGTCGGCGCTGCTGCTGCTGCTCGGCCGCCGCCGCCTGGACTTCCGCCGCCTCAACGAGCTGCTGCTCTCCGCCATGCACGTCACCGTGCTGCTGCTCGGCGGCCTGGGCTGGTGCTTCATGGTCTTCCTGGACCTGTGAGGGGCGCGCGCCCGCAGCCCCCCAACCCCCGCGCCCGCCGGCCGGGCGCGCGCGGGGCGGCGGCGCCGGGACTCAGACTGCGGGGTCTGCGGGCCCTGGGACGGCGGCAGGCCGGAGGCGACCCCCGGGCTCGGGCCGGGCCGCGGAGGCGCGAGCCCGCCGCCCAGCGCGGCGCAGCGTCCCGGAACCGGTGCTCCGGGTGGGGCCGCCCCTGTCTCCGGTCCTCGGCGCGACCCTGGCCCGGAGTCGGTGCATGTCCCGGGGGGCGCGGGCAGACCATGCGAGCGCTCTCGGGGCCGGGAAGGAGCCGCCTGCATTAAACCTATTTTTTTACTGTGGCTGGGCCGTTGTTGCAAGCGCAAACAGCCGCGTCCGGACTGCCAGGTGCGCGCACGCCCCCGCGTCCCTGCGGTGGCCAGTCCGCAAGACCGGCGTCCCCGGCGTCCGCCGGGCGCACCCGCCTGACCGTGACGGCGGCTCGGGCCTGGGCCGGTGCTTGTGGCCCTGAGTTGGGCAGCAGCGTCCGCAGCAGGCCTCGGACTTGAGGAAGGACCCGAGGAAGCTGAGAGACCTGCTGGGCGCGACCTTCCGTCCTGACCCTGCAGCGAGGGAAGGCCAGGCAGTGCCATTCCGTGGGAGAACCGAATGTTCCAGAAAGTCACCCCCCCCTCCCCCGTCGTGGGATGTGTGACCATGCAGAGACTTGGCAGGTCCTTCCGCTGCCTTTGCCATGGGCGCAGGGTGGGGGCCTGTGCCTCCAGGGGTCATCCGCCCCTGGGGCCGAGTCTTCCCTACACTCCTGCACCCTGTTCTGGGGCTCCTTTGGGCTCCGGCCGGGCCACCCCATGGGACCCCACAGGCGTCTGAGGCCGCTGGCTGCAACCGCCCTAGAGGGTCTGCGTCCTCAGCACTGCTGCGGGCCTCAGGGTGGTGGAGGGAGGCTGTGCGGGTCGAGGGAGGCCAAGTGGCCCCCCTGCAGAGGAGGCTGGGTGCGGAGGAGGCCACAGCAGGATGGTGGTGGGGACTGCTGGGTCCCAGGGGGTTCCAGAGCACCTTGCGCTTTCCTGCGATGACCCTGGGCTGTTGACTGGGGGCTCCCGGGACTGCCCCCAGAAGCCAAGCCTCTGGGCTGTGGAGGAAGGTGGGCAGGTGGGCAGCAGGGAAGAGGGTGCTCGAGGGAGGGGCAGCAGGGAAGCCCTCGGTGCAGGGTCACAGGGGGGGCCTGCCCCTCCCACCCCAGCGTCCCCTGCCATTTCCTGGCCTGACCAGCATCTCCAGCGCAGAGGTGCCAGCCTGGAGCATGAGCGGCAAGCAGCAGCAGGGCTAGTTTGCAGGTGTTGTCTGAGAAGGTTGGTGCTGGCCAGCCCCACGGGGCCTAGCACTGCTGGGGGCTCCCTGACTGCCCCCCCTGTGTGGCAGTGTGGACAGCTCAGTGACCTTGAGAGATCCCTGTGATTGGAGCAGTGGCTGGGCCCCTAGCGCTGACTCAGCACTTGCCAGGGAGGGAGCCCCCATCTGCTGGGCCCACACCACCCGGCTCCCCCCCTCACTGGCTCCCCCCCTCACTGAGTTAGGAGGGGCCCACGCGGTGGCTTCCAGGAAGGCTTCCTCCAGCCCCTGGAGGCGGAGGCGCGGTTGCTGGCTGAAGCCAGTTTGCAGATCCCGGCAGCCTGGCGTTGGGCCGGCAGCTCCCCCCCCCCCCCCCCCCCCCCCCCCCCCCCCGCAGCTCCCGGCCTCCCGCACCCGCCAGCCAGCCTGCAGGCAGCCCAAGCCCAGGACAGCCCCGGCTGAGTCAGCAGCGCCCCGCCCCCGCTGCAGGTGCTGCAGAGGAAGTGGCCCTGCGCCGGGGGCTCGGCTCGGCTCGGCTCCTCCACCTCGCTGCTCACCTGGAGGCCCTGTGGGAGAGGCTGGGGGGACCACAGGGCCTCTCCCTGAGCAGATGGGGGGGCCACCCCACTGGTGTCCCTTCAGACCAAGCCTGAGAATGCCAATCTGCCACCCTGCCTTCCTAGAGTGCCCGTGACCCTCCTGGTGGGAGGAAGCGTGGTCAGGCCCTGACAGACCCACATGTCAGAGGGGGTGCCAGGTGACCTGGTTGAAGCCAGGTGCTCTGGACCCTGGGGAGCTGGATATGGGGGGCCCAGGGGCACTGCTGGTGCTCCTCTCCCAGCCTCTGCAGAGGCCTGGCTCCCTGCTTCCTGACGCACCGACCAGGGTCAGGAACCAGGAACCGTCCAGGCTTTAGGGCTGGGCACAGCCAGGCATACTGGGTGAAGGAGGCTAGTCCTGGGGTGTCCACACAGCCAGGGCCCCGGGCACCGCCCTCTGCACCCCACAGCCCTCCAGCCAGTGTGTGTGACCAGAGCACATGGGACTCCTGTCCAGCTTCCCCACTGGTTACTGACCAGGGCCCTGGCCATTCTTGCCCAGCATCCGCACGGTCAGTACCTCCCAGAACCAGCCAGCATGGGAACATGTGTCCTCGCAGGCGTCTCCTATCCCAGCCCCTCTATGCCTAAAGGCCTTGGGAATGCACTGTCCTTGGGTACTTCCAGGAGGCATCTACCTGAGTAGTGAGCAAAGCCGTGCACATGTGAGGTACATGTGTGTGAAGTGGGTGTGCACATGTAGGTTCAAGTTAAGTGTATACATGTGTATGCTGGGTGTGCACACGCTAGGTACACGGCTGTCTGTGTGGTTGGGATGTGCACATGTTAGGTGTACTGTGTATGTGTGTGCAGCTGATACACATGTTGGGTGCATGTGTTTACATGTATGCAGCTTGTATGTGCATGTTAGGCGTAAGTGTGCACATGCGGCTGGAGTGTGCATACATTTGGGTGCATATGTCTAGCTTGTTCTTCACCACCCCAGGGTCGGAGTCCTGCCCATTCACCCAGACAGGTGTGCGGTGCCCGCAGAGCCCTCTGGTGCTCTTGGAAGATGGAGGAGCCGGGGCCTTAGGAAACAATGGCCGCATGGCACTGTGGTCTCCCCAGTGCCTTCCCTTCAGGATGGGAGTGCTCCCGGTCTGGGCACGCCAAAGGAGGACATGGACTGCTGAACACACTTTCATGGAGGGGAGGAGCTGAGGGGGCAGCCGAGGCCAGAGCTGCCGGGAGGACGGCTGGAGGGAGTAGTTTTCTCTCCTGCTTATGAGAGGAAGAGCCGGAAGCCAGGAGTCCTGAAGAGGGCGGAGCAGGTGGAGCTGGTTGGGGCGGCAGGCCCCGGTGTCTCAAGTCCATCCCTCAGCCTTGCCATCAGTAATACGTCCATTGAGGTAACCATTTAACGTCATGGTACAGCATGCTATCAGCAGGCTGAGATTGAATGAGTGAGGTAGAGTGAGTGAGTGAGTGAGTGAGTGAGTGAAGAAAGTACACTAGGTGATGGGATACACTGATAAGGCAATGTGTGAGTGAGGCACACTGGGTGAGGGAACATGTGAGTGTGAGCACTGAGCAGAGGAGGCACAGTGGGTGAGGGAGGGAGTGCTCACTGTGGGAGGGAGTGTGCGTGAATGCAGCGGCATGCTCTGAGCACACGGAGAGGGGTGACTGAGTGTCTAAGCACAGGGCTGCTGAAGGAGACCACCCCTGGCCAGCCACCGCACAGCAAGGAGTGGGGGTGTCTTTTCTTGGGGGTGGCTTCGGACTGGCCTAGGTGGGATGGGGGCTGCCGGCCCTTTCTTTGACAGGCACACAGAACCCTGGTCCCCCCTCTTCTGGGGTCTAAGTCCACGACCGAACTGCGGGCCAGTTGTGTGGAGACCCTCCTGGGCATCCTCAGCTGCAGAGGGCAGGGAGGATCTAAGGTTGCAACTCGGGGCTGTCATGCGTCCCCTTCCCCAGGGGTACCTGGAGTGGGTGTGACCCCGCCTCTTCCAGGGGGCCCCCAGGGTTCAGGGTCTGGGCTCCCTTCTGCTGCCAGGAGTGTGCCCGGCAAGGGTGCGGGTGTCCCTAGGCCACCCCCCGGGGCTCGCCCAGGAGCCGGAGGCAGCAGCTGTTCTCCAGCTGCACATTGGAGGGAAATTTAGGACAAAGGAGGAAGGAGGCTGAGCTGCCGATTTAGCCCGCAAAGGCATGCCAAAGCTGAAACGGAGCTGCCCTCATTCACGCACGGAGCGGCACGGGTTCTGCCGAGAAACCAAAATACTCACCCAGTTTCCTAATGTGACTGAATCGAGCTTGCCCGCCAGGCCTAGCGCGGGGCCTCTATTAGGGCCTCTCAGCCACCCAGTACCTGGCAGACCCTGAGGTCAGCCTCCCGGTGGGAGCCTGGCAGAGTCACAGGGTCAGGGCAGCATCTAGGGAGCTCAGGCAGGGTGCGCAGCCCATTCCGGCACTGGGGCCACCTTGGCCTCCTTCCTGGTGCCCTGCCTCCCCTCGCCCCTCCCCCGTGTGAGCCCGTAGTGCTCCCCACAGGTGCTCCAGGCTGGAGACTGCCATGGAGTCAGAGGCTGACTGCACCCTGGAAAAGGCTCTCTGGGAGGATCTGGGCCCCAAGAGCAGAAGCCTGCTGCTAATGGAGGCCCTGGGGGGGGGGGGTGTCTTAGCTACTGCCCAGTGCTCCCAGGCCCATTTTGGAGCCAGGCAGAGGGTCCCGGGTCTTTTGGCAGGCCTGCCCAGCACACAGCCCATCTCTGGCCTGCCCTGGCATCCAAGGCGGGTGGGCACACACGGTGCCCCTGGGCTTGCTCTCAGTGTCCTGGGCCAGGGACGCATGGCAGGTGGGAGTACAGGACAAGCTGCGGCACTGCACTGTGCAGGGCCTGGCGCTGTCCATCTGTGCTCCAGCTTCTTGTCGAATCTTCTGGACTATTTATTTTGTAGCGCTCAAGGCTTACTCCTGGCTCTGCTCAGGGATCGCACCTGGTGAGGTTCTGGGAGACCCACATATGGTGCTGGGAACTGAACCCTCAAGGACCCCTCCCCGCTGCCCCATCTCCCCAGCCCCTGCTTCAGCTGTTCAGCCTTGCACCTGTTCCCCGGCATCGGCCCTTCCAGTAGAAAGGTGCCGCCGGGATG